ACATGAGACAGATAATCAGTGAAACAATCAGGTTCCTCTGGCTCCTCCTAGAGCTCCTAATGGGATTTGTAAGAATCCACCGGGCCTGAATGAAAACAACCAATCAGAGCTGAGAGAGATATAAAGACACTTTGGGTTGGAGTAGGGAGTAGAGTGACCCAACATAAGCAACTATAGTATCTCTGAGTTAAATTTTTATTTTTTAAATTTAGCAAAGACTAGCAAAGATGTTGCATGATGACTTGCAACATCGTCCATATTTCATGGTGTTATGTGTACTTGAAATGCAAACGATGCACTCGTGCACTCCACAAGGACACATGAGTCTGTGCACGTTCATAAAACAAATAGAGCTTGGCTTATCACACACTACATTCCATGCTCTGTGTGTGAAAGTCACGATGCAATGTAACAACAAACTACAGTTTATTGTCATGTCAACACAAATGTAGCTTTTTTTTTTAAATCATTCCTTCTTTCTCTATGACATGGGTTAGGGTTACTGTAAAATTGTTCTCCCATCATGCCAATAAAGGTTTTCTGACATTGAGCTGAAGCTCTGACTCTCTCTGTCTTTGTCTCTTTCTCAGGCGGTTAGGGGTGGAGCTTGGCAAGGTGCAGGTGTACCAGGAAGCTAACAGAGGTAAGATGTTTCCTGATGGGGAGTGACTACAAGTTCAGTATCAACATGTCTACTGCTGGCAGGAAGATATAAAATAAAATTTGAGAGAGAGAGAGAGAGAGAGAGAGAATTAGTAGTAGTGACCGATGACGATCATGAAAAATTTCAATTTTATTTGTATAGCGCCAATTCATAACATATTTAGAGATATTTTGGCCTCATTTTTGCCACGTCCATCTTTTATATGTTGGAAATGTCAATAAATAATGCAGCACAGTGATGTTTTCCAGCACTTGCCCAATATGTAATTAATCCAACACACTAATAATTTAATAAAAATGGGAATTTTTTCTTGAATCAGTGTCATACCAGCCACACATTGTCAGTTATCAATGAAATGAAAGCTTTACTCAGCCCTACAGTACAGTGCTGTCTCACCAGGTTAACTGTTCAACTGTGTGTGGCTGTAATTAGAGCACAGGGTGTATGTGTAAAGTAGGAAGTTTAGTCTGTTTAGTCTGTTACATAACATAATATATAATATTGTTTACTGTTATAACACTGTAGCCTTTACCAGTATTGACTACAGATTTACTGGTTTAATGTTAGGGATGTATCGATACACTCAACTCACAAATCGATACAATTCACAATACTGGGTGATTTAAAAAAATAATAATAATAAATAAATAAATAAATTAAAGCAAAATAAGATTGAAAACTCATTATGGCTGAAAAACATTCATTTATTTCTCTTATTCTTAAGGTAGGGTATGAACAGTGCAAAACAATGCCCTTTCTTTGTAAAAGTGGAAATGATGTCTTTGTGCCTTGATACAGCTGCTGACACAAGTGCAAAGTCTAAAGTAGATGGCACCCTCTGGTCACTACTGCAAGCCACAGTAGCTAGAAAGCTTATGGTCTCGTAATGGGCAAGCATTGCATTGACAGAAAGTAAACAATCTGCTTATACAGTTATGTTAAGGAAAACTACCATTAGCTATAAAAACATATTAGGTGAGACCAATCTATGTTTCATTGCTCATTTTATGTGTAAAGTCTGGTTGTTTTTTTAATGTTCAATGTTAGGAACGCACAATATGAATTTTTTTCCTGCCGATAGGATAACCGATACAACAAGCTTCTCCACAATGTCTTTGTGTGTTTGTGTGCCAAACTTGATTTTCTTGCAGTATATCTGGTCAGTACAATGCATTTGCCAGCAGAATACCGATTCTCAGGAAGACCTTTCAAACGGTCGCTGCTTGCACCTGCTTATCACACAATCCTGATGCAAGGTAGACAAAACAAAGGGCGAGTATTCAACGTAATCGATTACAGATCTCATGCTTTTTTCAAGTACAGGCAAGAAAAACTGTCTGAAAGGGAGAGATCTGTCTAAAAACACATGGTATGCTTTGGAAAACAGTCAGAAACCAGTAGAATTTTATATATATATGTGGTTGTTGGTGTAGGTTGTTTAGTAGTAGTAGTAGCTTAGTAGTAGTAGTATAGTAGTTAGTAGGAGGCGGTAAGAGGAATATTCCACTTCATGATTATTCAAAGTTGGTCAAAGTTTCTTGGCTCCCAGACTGCTGCTTGCATTAACTATCAAACACATTTGAGCTGATGGCAGTGCTGTTTCCTCAGTGTGTCTGCTGGACATTTGTCTCTGCCCAGGAAGCATTTTCTTTTCTAATCTCTCTTCCGTGGGAGGCACATTTTTGGAATACTAGCATCTACACGTTCACACAGTGGGGGGTGGGGGATGCGTGTGAGAGGCACAAAGGGCTCAGATAGCCCCTCTAATGAAGCTGACAGCCCTCGCGGGCTTTGTCATGAGGCGGGAGTGTGCGCATGAACGTGTGTTTATGTGCACGCGCTTTCTTACTGCTTCCCTCGTTCTCACGTCCTCTTTGTTTCCATAGAAACACGGGTGCAGATCCAAGAGTCGGTGCGAGGCAAAGATGTCTTTGTGATCCAGACAGTGTCCAAGTACGGAAGAACACACACATAATTGAACATTTTAATGCAGTTTTCCCCTGAAACATCTCACTCATATCACACTTTGTCATTACTCCCCTCTTTCTCTCCATCCCTCGGCTGAATCAGAGACGTGAACACCACCATAATGGAGATGCTGATCATGGTGTACGCGTGCAGGACATCCTGTGCCAGAAGCATCACAGGCGTCCTTCCCTACTTTCCCTACAGCAAGCAGTGTAAGATGAGGAAGAGGGGCTCCATCGTCTCCAAGCTCATTGCCTCTATGATGTGTAAAGCCGGTAAGTGGGAGAGGATTGCTTTATAGCATTAACAGGAGGAGGGAACGCGGGGACAGAAACCAATGGTCATTTCTAGTGTTTCTGTTAACTTGTAACATCAAAGATTGTGTTTACAAGTGTGTGTACATTGTGGCAAACATTTTACAAATTGTTGTAGAATGGACATCTATAACTAGATTAGCTGGAAGCATTAACATGTCAAACTGACCATGTTTGTGCAGGTCTCACCCACCTGATTACCATGGACCTCCATCAGAAAGAGATTCAAGGCTTCTTCAACATACCAGTGGACAATCTGAGAGCCTCCCCCTTCCTGCTGCAGTACATACAGGAAGAGGTAAAATCACATGCATACACACACAAGATCTGAAAGGACCTCCACATTTGGTTTCTCACCTTTGTCCCTTCTTTTACAACGCATTAAAGCTGCAGTAGGTAACTTTTATAAAAATAGTAATATATGAGACAGATAATCTGTTAAAAATCAGTTCCTCTGGCTCCTCCTTGAGCTCCTAATGGTATTTGCAAGAATCCACCGGGCCTGAATGAAAACAACCAATCAGAGCTAAGAAAGATATAAAGACGCTTTGGGTTGGAGGCTTGAAGATAGTTGATTGTTGATTCTCATTCCCAGAGTCTCAAAGCGTCTGTATTTGACAACCTGAGAATGAGACTCAACAATTAGATATCTTTCTTGGCTCTGATTGGTTTTCATTCAGGCCCGGTGGATTCTTGCAAATGCCACTGTGGTAAGCTAGTTAGTGGGACATGCTAATGTTTGCAGCTAACATTTGAGCATTAAACACTCTGTCTAATCTGTTCCTCTAACCATAACTCAACATGTGGAGAAATTCAAAGCTGCCCAGCTACAGTTGCTAAGCTCACTGTTTGGGGAGGGTTAGTTGAATAAAAATCTCAATGATTAACTTGTATCTTTATTTTCTATGAACCTCCAGATTCCTGACTACAGAAATGCTGTGATTGTGGCCAAATCCCCAGCCTCTGCCAAAAGGTAGTCTCTCCTCACTCGCTTATGGAATCACCTTCAGCTGTAACTCATTATATTATATTTTCAACTTAAATGTTAATCATGAACCTATGCTCTTTCTTTCCCCGAGGGAGTTAAGGTCCTGAATTGTATTTATGTAGCAGCACAGTCTCTCTTTTCTTATCCTACCACACGGGGGAGCCAAAGTCAGAATATTTTATATAGTGATTCATAGTTTTATGAAAATGACAGTTGTTTCCCATACTTATGTATATTTTTTTCTTCTTGCTCTTAAGGCTCCAGATGAAGGGGGCACAGTAAGTCGTAGTATCTGAGTTTTCCTCTCTGTCTGGGTGTGCAGGGCTCAGTCGTTCGCTGAGCGGCTGCGTCTGGGTATAGCAGTGATCCACGGTGAAGCTCAGGACGCAGAGTCAGACCAGGTAGACGGGCGACACTCCCCACCCACAGTCAAGACCACCGGAGCCATCCACCCCAGCATGGAGATACCATGTAATATGAGCACACACACTAATTAGCATAAATCCTGTAACCAACATACGACAGAATGTATTATGTAATGTTATGGTCTGCCACTGCAAATACCACATTACCTAGAGAGGTGCTGCCTCTAGCTGAGTTTAAATACAGCCATTCTCTGTTTCTCACTGTGTGCTTCTGTTTCTGTTTCCAGTGTTGATCCCTAAAGAGAAGCCTCCCATCACTGTGGTTGGAGACGTAGGAGGACGCATCGCCATCATAGTGGTGAGAGCATACAGTGTGACTGTGGGTTTTAACACACAGTTTTGGTTCTGCATATGGAAGAACAAACTACATTTACTCTACTTACTGTGTAAAGTTGCACTTTGTACTTCATTTTAAGTCACAGCAATCACAGAGGAAGAACAAGAGTCACATGAGAAAGTCACAATAAACTTAGAGAACAAAAGAAAGCGGCCAAATCAGCAGAGAATAAGGAAGGAAGACAGAGCAGTGACTGTCTGTGGACATTCTGTAAGAGATGGAGGAAATCCAGTCCTGTTTTCCGTTGAAAAGGCTAAAGAGAATTAGATTAGATTCAGTGGCTGTTGCTACGTGAGCAAGCAGCTAGACTATGAAGTGCCATGCACACAGTAAATGACAGATAAATTATTGACAGAGATCCAATATCTCAACCTCCTTTGCAAAATTAAAAAAAACATTAACCTAATTTGACTGTGCTTTATGTGGACTACTGTACAGGTGCACTGATTGTGGATCAGGCTGATACACACTCTATTCACTCTATTAACATTTTGTTTTAATTATATTGAGGAGCATAAATTCGTCTTAGTTTATTTATCAGATACATGTAGAAATCATTAGAGTACAAAAATCTGTTGAATGTCTGAGGATGCTTTAGAAAAAAAACTTGAGCACAATTGAGGACCACAAGTCCAAAGATGACAACCACTGTTTCCCAGTCTTTAAAACATCTGGAAATTGATTAAAATTATCGAAATGGCTTCGTAGTTTTCTAGCGGTCGCATGTGCGCCCAATGTAAGAGCTGCGTAGGTACACTTTCATCTTACAAAACCAATAACTTTTTGTCATAGTACACAGATGAAACTCTTCCACTAAGTATCCTGGACAGTAGAACCATGAGACAGATAATGTGGAAACAAATCAGGTTCCTCTGGCTCCTCCCGAGCTCCTGCTATGGTATTCACAACTAATCCACCGG